CACTTGCGAGAAAGCAAAGTTGCCGCGCGCCGAATCAGTGCGCTATCGCGAAACGTCTTGTGTGGCGTGTACCGCCACAATTAACCTGAAAAATTGTCTCTATTCTACAATCGTCTTAAATAAAATTCAATTTACTGAGAAGTTTATATATATAATTTATTTTTTCTGTTCTTGTATCTCGAAAATAGCATATATTCTATACACATGTGTATTTATATAAACATAAACTTATTTCATTAATAGCATTGACGTTCATAATATATGCTTCAATGAAAAAGAAATCGCGCAGCTAAAAAAATACATTAATTTATACCTATATGCGGAATTATTTTTGATCTACAAATTGTGGATGTAGCATGGACATGAACCAAAATCGACTGTTTTATTGGCACTAAAAGTGGATGTGGCCATATAGTTCCCAGGCGGCGTGAAATGGATGTACGCACCGCTAGTGTACGACATAAAAAAAGCGTTCCCTCAAAAATGGCAGCGTGGCCTTTCTCAGGCTTCTCTCTGATATGTAATATGGCTGCTGTATGAAGGTGCATTTTTACGTGCTGCTGAAACTGATCATTTGAGCGACAAAAATGATCACGTGATGACTTTTGTCGCTAAATTATTACAGCGGCAGCTTGTGCACATGAAAAAAGATTGCAGCGATAAAATTGTAGAAAGCAATATTGGTAGCTTCCAAAAGAAGAAAATATTATAATTGAATATCAAATTGTAAAATAATTCGACGAAAACGTCAAATACAATTTGAAAATAATATTGTTTTTATTATATTACTATCGACATATCAAAAATAAAAGACATTATTGAAAAAAAATTTTAGGTCGCACCACTTTTTTAAAATCATGATCAATATGGATTTTACAAAGCTACTTAACTGAATGTGAGGTTAGAAAGTGGAAGATTTCTGAATTATTTTCGTATGTCATCAACGCAATTGGAAAATTTACTACATTTTTATTTTAGTACTGTGACGTGACACTTGGCGGTCCGTCACAAGGATCGCGAGATCTGACCGGTATTATCCCACACAGCACAAATGACTGTTTGTCGACTAATAGTCGACTTTTTTCAGTCGACTTAAAGTCAGCTGTTAAAGTCGACATTTAGCCGACTATTTCCAGGATGATTTTTGTCGACTTTAAATTGTCGACTTTAAGTCAACAATTTAAAATCGACAAAAATTATACTAGAAATAGTCGGCTAAATGTCGACTTCGAAAGTCAAAAGTTGGCGCGTAGTGCGCGCGTGACATGCGATCGCCGCGATTTCATCCTTTCGATCGTCTCTGTGTGTGTGTGCCCATTGTGCCTCCCGCGTGCCGGCTTTTTGTTCCAATTGTGCAATATTTATCAAGGTAATGTCCTTCTTTCATAATTAATATTAGCATAAAATATTAAAGGATATCAGAGATATATTGTATATAAAAACAATTTTTCTTACACGGGAATCTCACATCTAAAATGAATATTGTTTGAGAATAAGAGCTATTAAGAGCCAAGGCGGATGGTAGTGCGTGAACTTAAAACGATTACTAATTCGCGAAAATTAAACCGCGTTTTTATTGAAAAATTAATGACATATGCCTATATTTTACTTGGTGCATAAAGCCAAGATATAGGTTTCTCAAATCCGAGAACACACTATAAGACCCCTCTTAACCCCCCTGAAGAGACGTAGGCGAGAAAAATATCGGGGCGAAGTCGCTGAATCGGGAATCGAACCCGAGTCTTTCGCTTGCCGAGCGACTGCTCTTACCACTGAGCTATTCAGCCCCACACCGATACTTCTCTCGCCAATAGTTTTATTGAAATAATAAGAACGCGATACGCTCCGCGTAAATTTAACAAATTAATAACTAGATAAAGAAATTAAGGCTCTGTTATGTATTAAAACAAACTTTTGTTTTAATACATCCCAACCAGCAGAGAATGTTTTTTAAATATATTTTTAATATTTATTATTCATTAATTGTACATTTCTACAATTTATTACAAATATAATATTTATTTAACGTTTATTTAATATTTATTTTTTATGAAACGTTTGTTTAAAATAGCAATTTAGAGAAAATAATAATGTTATGTTTATTTAATATTTATTTAATATTTATTTAATATATATTTTTACATTTACATTAACATTATTTTTTGTTTTCAATAATAATTTTAAAAAATATTTATGTAATGCTTATTTCTTAATTTCTATTTTATATTAATTATGCCAAATATAATATAATTTATTAAAATATTTATTTAACAGTTATTAAATATTAATTTAATATTTATTTATATTTGGCATAATTAATATGAAATAGAAATTAAATGAACATTACATAAATATTTTTTAAAATCATTATTATATACAAACAAAAATAACCCAATCAGCAGACAATGTTTTTAAAAATATTTTTAAAAATGTTTGAAAAATGTTGAGAATCATGGAGTTAAGTCTCCTTTCATTTATTACAAAAATATTTATTTTAACATTTGAAAAAATGTTTTATTAATATTTGATATTTATTTTAAAACGGTTGAATATATATTTTTAACGTTTAGAAAACATATATTTACTATTAAATAAATGTATTTAAAATGTTTTTTCAATAATTAAGAAATACATATTTAACGTTGAAAAAATATTATTTTATATAGGTTTATTCTATAATCTATATAATATAAATAAAATTTACTCCTGATATACATGCTAACTTCAATTTTTATTGTTTAATACTAATACAATATAAGACGCGTCTTATTATTGTTGTTTGCATGGACTTAACACAAGACACTACTGTTGTGTCTTTTGACTACTATTGTGTCTTTGCAGGAAATTTAATTATGATTATAAAAATATTTTATATTTGATGATGGTGAATATTAATTGGCTGCGTTCCGTTTCACGCATATGCGCGCATTTATTTATAGTATGCGTAACGTATACTATAGATAAATGCGCGCATGCGTGAACGCAGCCATTGTTTCGAGCGCAGAACGCTCTCGCGCATTAATACATATGGTTATCTCTGATTGGTTGTGTGAGTCGTCGCGCCATTACGTGGCACGACCACAGTGCGCGTTAACCTAACGTTAAAACTGGCTGCACGACAGTGCACGAGTTCTTTGTGCCTTAATTCGTGATTACTATTTTCTACTTTTGAAGTGTTCTACATTTGCCAATAAGGTAATACTCAATATAATACTACATCCCAGCAAACCACAATATATTACTATGATTTGGCTTTATGTCAGCAATACTGAATATATCATTTACATATCAGATACATTTAAAATAATACATATTTGATACATATCTATAACATAATATAGATATATCCAGATAGCCAAATGCAATGAGGTTGCTCTCATGTTGCCAATAATTCTTGAAGCAACTAATTTTAACAAACTAGAGACAAGGTGAGACAGCATTATGTCTGTTACGTTGAACTCACATGAATTCATGTGAATTCAACGTAACAGACATAATGCTGTCTCACCTTGTCTCTAGTTTGTTAAAATTAGTTGCTTCAAGAATTATTGGCAACATGAGAGCAACCTCATTGCATTTGGCTATCTGGGTATATCTATATTATGTTATAGATATGTATCGAATATATATCATTTTAAATGTATCTGATATGTAAATGATATATTCAATGTTGCTGACATAGAGTCATATCATAAACGTAACATTATTTATACAAGTAATATTACATGTAATATTCATGACATTCGTGTTATGTTACAATTACATCTATGTAATATATTGTGGTTTGCTGGGTTGTATCGTAAGGATTTATTAAAAACTGTGTTTTTATTATACTTTTAAATTGTATTTATAACCTATTTATGGCTAATATATTTTATGAACAAAATTTATCTGTTAACATTGTTTATTAATATTGATGTATTTTTAATAACAGGCATCAAGACAGGCATCAAGATGACATGAACAATAATAAATTTGCAACTGATGTCAGCACTACAAGTGAAGATGAGATGAAAACTGACAATAACGAAGAAAACGTATATGATGAAGATAATGAATTAAGTATCTTTAAGAAAATAATTCAATAAAAAAGATATATAATTTCAATAAAAAAGATATATAATGAAGACGAGTAACAATGAGTTACGATTGTAAGGATAGCTAATATTGCATATGATCAAAGATAAGTCACTTTTGTTACAGTATTATATTTTTTTCTTTTTTTTTTTATGTTTGTGTTCAGTTTTCATTTCCTGACTGGTGTTATTTTATTAAAAAAGAAAAAAAGATTAATTTCTTATTAAATACGTTAAATTTATAACTTAAATGTACAAATAACTTGTTAAATAATCTTTATTAGTTTGTTTATGTCTTCCTTCCTTATGTTAGTTTGTTTATGTCTTCCTTCCTTCCTTATGTATCAAGTTTATATATTTAATATTGTTAACATTTTATAATTTTATATCATTCGCTTAAAATTTAAAATGTGTATTTGTAGATTTGATATAGCATTAACATTATTAGCAATATAGACGAATCTATATTTTGTATTGTACAATTTTATAATGAACCATTTTATTGCTGCCAAAGCTCATTGTATTAATATTAAACAATAAAAATTTAAGTTAGCATGTATATCGGGGGTAAATTTTATTTATATTATAGATTATAGAATAAACCTATATAAAACAATATTTTTTCAACGTTAAATATGTATTTCTTAATTATTGAAAAAAACATTTTAAATACATTTATTTAATAATAAATATACGTTTTCTAAACGTTAAAAATATATATTCAACCGTTTTAAAATAAATATTTATCAAATATTAACAAAACATTTTTTCAAATGTTAAAATAAATATTTTTGTAATGAATAACAGGGGACTTAACCCATGATTTAAACGTTTTTAAAAATGTTTTTAAAAACATTTTTCAAACATTTTAAAAAACATTTTTAAAAACATTGTCTGCTGATTGGGATAACAGAGCCTTAATTTCTTTATCTAGATATTGTATATACATATGTAAATTTTATATGTAGTAATTCGTGATATGTACAATTATGTACAAGTTAGAATCGTCCTCTTTCTTCTCTATTGAGTTTCCGTGTATCTGTAATTAGTAACAGTATTTTTATTTTCAGCTTATCTTGTGCAATAGAGGCGGTGCTAATTCTGCAGTCTTATTGTTAGCCGAAACAAAATATCTGCATGAAGCAGTACGAAAGATGAAGCGCCGGCGAATTTGATTATTGACTATTGAGCGAAGCAGCACGTACGATACATAATCAAGGTAATTTACATTTCTAATTTTTTATTTAAATAATTTGAAAACACAATATAAATAACAAAGTGCCGTAACGGTCATTGCTAGGTCTTAGTGTTGATATTTATTGTGTGATTGTATATACCTTTTTAAAAGTTCACTAAACTGCACGCCAAATATGTTTTTAATCATAACAGCTCCAAGTTGAATTAATAGTAATATCACTTTATTTATTTGAAAATCAATTTAATAATTAATGATGCTAACTTGCATCGAAATGTGAAAACCCATCCTCCCCCCTAAAAAAAACTGTAAAGAAATTATTGCAAAAAATAATACCTCAGTCAGGGGAAAAATCTATTCGGTGCACAGTTTAATGAACTTGAAAAGATATATATAAAATCACACAATAAATATTACATTATCAAGGAGAATCCTGCAGTAGCTAATTGCCGATTTTATTAAAATTTTAATACAATTTAATGGATTTGATAGTATTCACTAAAACATTTTATTAAGCAGTAAAGCTCCAGGTGCCATTATTCAGGCATTCTCGAGAAAATGAAGATTTCTAGCACCTATATAGTACCGTTATGGAAAAGTGATTGTTGAATCAATGATGTAGCGTTAAAACATTGATTGTTATGCTCGGAGTTCCAGGTTCTGTCCTCGAAGACATTTTGTTTCATTTAAATCTTATATTTTTAAATTATATACAATTTTTTAATCATTTTTAATTATTTAATATAAAATGTTATTTTTTAAACATCAATAATTGAATGTAGTAATTTTACACACTTAGTAAAATAGAAAAGGCAATTGGTTATAGCTGGATCTCGGCGCTAATATCTTATTATGCAATTTTATATACATCTTCAAGATCAAACTGCACATCGAATAAATTTGAGATCCTCGAAAAGCTATAACTAGAATGAGAACAATATCGCGATATTATCACGATACTACGATTTTAACTGGAGGTGTTATTTTTTGAAACAAAATTCTTCACTTGCAATATTTTAAATAAGAGGGGTTTTATTAGATAGTTGTTATCATTATTATCTAATCATCAATTTAATCTCTTGGTACTACTGGTACTTGGTACTTGGTACTTGGTCTTCTTGTTTTCAACCTATAACTGTATCAAGACCAAATATTTGTTCGGCGCGCAGTTTGATATATGTAACGATATATGTAAAATCACAATATAATATATTAAATAACATAAATTTCAGTTGCATTTTTGCAGGTTAATTTTTAATTATTTACTTTTAAATATTTCTTTTGTTGTATAGAAAAATGCCGCAAAAATTACTTGGTCAAATTTGTGACAATTGAACGGAAACTCAATCGGATCATTCATTTTCTAAAAAATGAAAATAATGTACAACGGAATGAAATAGAACAAGACAATGTGTCGTTGTTACCAAATTTTCCTCTCACTACAGTTGAACAAACAGAAATGTTCAATACAGACATAACAGATTGGAAGATATTAATGTTCGGCGACAATTTGTAAGGATCTTATCACATTAATTAATTGTAATTATACAAATTAAAGCCTATGATAACAGTAAGCTAATGTTAATATTTAGAAAAAAAAATAAATTGAAGAAATTGTGCAATAAAATAATAAATTTATTATATAATATATAAAAATATATAAAAATATTGTTTTTATTTATTACAGATGAAAAAAATGGCGCAGTTTGGCGGGGATACCGTAGCCAAACTTGTAAAAAATATAATGTTGGAAACTATCGGATATGAAGCTGCGGCAGCGTACACGTGGACAGGCCAAAAAAAAAGATTATCATTCAAAACATCGAAACTGGCTGACACAATAATTGGTATATAATTTTAACATTTTTCTTCATTCTTTGTAGTTGCACTGAACTGTATTTAAACAAATTTTTTTTTAACATTAAATACAATTCAGATGAGAATTTTTCTAGAACTACTTCATGTCATGTTAACATGTATTTTAACATGATCCAATTATTATGTTTGTAGCAATTATTTTGAAGAAAAAGGATACTACTACAATTACTGAAGTGGAAGGATGTATTCAAGAGTGGTTGAGACGATCCGGCGACAGAAAGAGAGGCTTAAACAAGTAAATATATTGTATGTACCTGATATGTTAAATTTGTCATTTTCTTTGGAAACTATTAATTTTATATAATATTAATATACCTATAACATAAAACATTGATATTTTGTACTGAATAAAACTTAATCTTCGATCCATGGGTGCTGGGATTGTCTTCTTTCGAGAATAGCGTTGATTGATGCTCTTGATCAAGCTTCAATCAATGGGTGCTGGGACTGTTCTCGAAAGAGGATAGAGTCCGCATTGATCGACGACCAAGATTAATCTTCGATCAATGGGTGCTGGGACTGTCTTCTTTCGAGAACAGAATCCGTGTTGATTGACGCTCTTGATCGAGCTTCAATCAATGGGTGCTGGGGTTGTTCTCGAGAGAGGATAGAGTCCGCATTGGTCAACGACCAAAGTTAATCTTCGAAACTGGACTTGGAAACAATAAAAGTAAGGTAGAGTCCAAGGTAGAGTAAAAATTCTCGCAATTCTGTTGTTTTCCAACGTCTCAATTCATCCAGAGAACGTGATTTTCAGATCAAACTCCTTCGGTACCTACTTTGTACATTGCAATTAATTTTTCCAAGTCTATTATAAGTTTGCTTTCACTTTGATGTTTGATAACTACTTATCCATAACTGCAATACTTTTTTCATGACTCCTAGACATGACATATCAAGTACATATAATTTAAAGAGAACTGTGTAACATTAGCAGTTGTATTAACTCGAAAGGAGATATAACCAGTATGACGATTTTGTGATTGTAATAAGTACCTAATTCTTGTATACTTTCCACATCCAAAAAATCTGTTATGTGCAATTTATTTAAATATAATTATATATGCTTGTTATAATTCTAACAAGCATATATAACTATTATTTTCTAAAAAAAAATAATTTAAAAACAATATATATTCTATTTATATATATCCTACAAAGCAGGAATATTCTCTAATATTTTATTCTTCGGTCTTTAAAATTCTATTTTTTCTCATTCAACATTGCTCAGAAACATATATTTATACATAATTAGATCTCTTTGACGTACATCCAAGTAAGCTCTGTTATAAGTGGAAGTATTTATGCGAGATAATGAGACTAATAATATTATTTATTGTTAGAGAAAACGCTACGTAGATATGTTCTAGAGACAAAGTAATCCATACAATGGATAAACTGTTTTGAATGCAAATAGTAATATGTTATTAGAAATATTAGTTATACTGTAAAATATTATTATTAAAAATCATTAAATAGAGAAGTACTTTGTGTAATAAAAACAGTCGTTTAAATACAAGTGCTATTATATTTATAATTATCTTTATGTAGTAATGATTAAATATTGTTATTTAAAACTGAATATATAATCTTCATGTATTTCAAAAATTCTTACTGCATTATTTGCTTGCAAAGCGTTATTATGTTTTATCATATGTAATTATTATATTTAATAAAAATTTCTGTCATGCAAAACTGCCAATAATATGGAAGGCAAAAATATATAAAAAGATTATATATATAATCTTTTCATATATACAGGGTGGGGAAAAAGTATGGAAGCAAACAATTATTTCCGAAACTATTCATTTTTCGACAAAATGTCTTAGACATCATTTTTATGGTATGAAAAGATGTATTATGTGGCATAGATGGCATGACCTTGAAATGACCCTTACGAGCTGCATACAAATAACGTAAAAAATTTCAAATGGAACTCGTCAGTTTTTGTTACAGATTCTTGTAGCTGATGTCGAAACGTTTACAAAACACTGCATATGAGCTCCATTCTCTTAAAAACACTCCCAGTTACGAAACAATTGTGATAATTCGTATCGACGAAATTGAAAATAGACGGCGTACGTGTGATTACATGAATATGTGTAACGCGATTGAACGTCATTATGAGAGATCAGTACAACAGTAGCGATTACTGCAACAAATGGAGAATAACCCGCTTCGATCATTTCTGTCGATACGAAAGACACGCGAAGTTCGTAGAATCAGTTAAGGCGTACATCGAACCGTACTCAAGGAAAGAGATTACGTGATTCATCCAACCAGTTAAGGTAAGATAAGTGCGATTCATCCAACCAGTTAAGGCAAGATAAGTGCGATTCATCCAACCAGTTAAGACAAGATAAGTGCGATTCATCCAACCAGTTAAGGCAAGATAAGTGCGATTCATCCAACCAGTTAAGACAAGATAAGTGCGATTCATCCAACCAGTTAAGGCAAGATAAGTGCGATTCATCCAACCAGTTAAGGCAAGATAAGTGCGATTCATCCAACCAGTTAAGGTAAGATAAGTGCGATTCATCCAACCAGTTAAGGCAAGATAAGTGCGATTCATCCAACCAGTTAAGGCAAGATAAGTGCGATTCATCCAACCAGTTAAGGCAAGATAAGTGCGATTCATCCAACCAGTTAAGGATGTTATTAGTGGACGCAACTGAACGTCATGATGCGAAATCAGTAAGCAATGTCAATGTGCATACAAATTGTTTGTATCACAATTGTTTCGTAACTGGGAGTGTTTTTAAGGGAATGGGGCTCATATGCAATGTTTTGTAAACGTTTCGACATCAGCTACAAGAATCTGTAACAAAAACTGACGAGTTCCATTTGAAATTTTTTATGTTATTTGTATGCAGCTCGTAAGAGTCATTTCAAGGTCATGCCGTCTATGCCACATAATACATCTTTTCATACCATAAAAATTATGTCTAAGACATTTTGTCGAAAAATGAATAGTTTCGGAAATAATTGTTTGCTTCCATACTTTTTCCCCACCCTGTATATATATATATATATATATATATATATATATATATATATATACAGGGTCTACCAAAAGTGTGGAAACCCCTAAATATCTCGGAAAATATATGTTTTACAGAAAAGTGTTTCCAACAAAAGTTGTAGGGTTTAAGAAGATCTATATACTGATTCTATCAGTTTGACCTTGGATGGCGTCGTCAAGGTCAGGTCAAGGTCACATTGACTTTTTTAAATGACACCCCCTACATTTGATTGCATATTCTTATAGCTTAATTCAAGAACTTTCCAAAACACTATAATAATGTTCATTTTTATTAAGTACTTTGCGAGTTATGAGGGTTGAATGATAGAGTAGCGCCGGTATTAACATTATCCAAGGTGTACTACATGGAGGTTACTCGCTTGGATTTGCATCTGTTGTGTGTGTGATCCAGCTAACTAAGGCAAGATCGATTCCTCAACATATCCTCATATTTCGCTGAAGTCAAATTGCCAAAAAATTGCTCTATAAAACGTGTATGAAACGTCTCGTTAGTTCCTTCATTTACCGCTATGTGACGCACTACATGCAGTCTAACTCGCATTTAAAATTCAACTAAGAATGTATAAAGCTATCAAAGAACGAGCACCTTCTAACTTCAGCTTTGAGCAAGCAGAAATTAATTGTTATCGTCCAAATACAACGTACGATTAATTAAAATTAAACGTTTTAAAAATGGCTGGCGACTTGTCGGAACGTGAAAGAATCACTATCCTCATGATGCGTGGATGGGGTGATAACGAAAGATCGTTCTCTGATGTCGTTCGATTATTTAATGACACGTATCCGAACCGTCGAATTAATAAGTCCACTGTGTTAAAAACAATAGAACGTTTTAGACAAACTGGTAGCGTAAGAAATCGCTCTAAGTCAGGAAGACCATTGTCTGCAACCAACGAAGAAAAATAACTTGATGTTCTGCAGACATTTATTGAAGATCCCAATTCTAGTGTTCAGAGAGTCGCTCAAACTCACGATATTGCTCCCATGTCGGTTTGGAGAATTTTAAAGAAGAACAAGTTCCATCCATATAAATTGCAATACGTTCAAGAATTGCAAAACGGAGATGAGGAGCGTCGTATACATTTCTGTGAAAGAATGATGGCACTAATAGATGTCCGGCCCATCTTCCCTTATCAAATTGTTTTCACAGACGAGGCAACTTTTACCTTAACGGGAGAAGTTAATAATCAAAATTTTCGTTTCTGGTCAGATGAGAATCCGAATTGGGTGCGGGAAACTCACACACAACATCCACAAAAAATAAATGTATGGTGCGGAATAATAGATGGCTATTTAATAGGGCCGTTTTTTTTTGAAGAATATTTGAACGCTCAAAGGTATGAGAGATTACTTGTTGATCAAATAATTCCAGCCATACAGAATACTTTTCCAAATAATTTCCAAGAAATATGGTTTCAGCATGATGGAGCTCCTGCTCATTTTGGTGCAGGACCACGTCGTATTTTAAATGAGACTTTTCCGCTACGGTGGATAGGAAGAAGGAACGGAAATGAGGGAGGAGAGGATTGGCCACCTCGGTCACCAGATCTAACTCCTCTTGATTATTATCTATGGGGATATCTGAAGAGTAAGGTTTACAGAACAAAACCTAAAACCATTCACGAATTGATACAGCGAATAAGGGATGAAATGGCTTTGATACCTTTTGAAACGAATCGTAAAGTCATTTCTACATTCTACCAAAGATTAGCATATTGTCAGGAAGTAAATGGCAGCCACTTTCAGAATTTACTTTAACACATTGAAACACATTTGCAATCGTTTGGTGCAACCTAACCTGATCTCTGTATACACGCACCGCACGCACGCACACGCACACATTTCGAACAATTATTATGATAAATGAGCATCCACAAATTTATTTACTGTTTACTATGTCGATTGCTTTCCAGGTCTTTAAATGCTCGATTGTAATTTGGTTGGGTCTTTGCTTTTGCTGACTGGATCCACGACCGATCTTGCCTTAGTTAGCTGGATCACACACACAACAGATGCAAATCCGAGCGAGTAACCTCCATGTAGTACACCTTGGATAATGTTAATACCGGCGCTACTCTATCATTCAACCCTCATAACTCGCAAAGTACTTAATAAAAATAAACATTATTATAGTGTTTTGGAAAGCTCTTGAATTAAGCTATAAGAATATGCAATCAAATGTAGGGGGTGTCATTTAAAAAAGTCAATGTGACCTTGACCTGACCTTGACGACGCCATCCAAGGTCAAACTGATAGAATCAGTATATAGATCTTCTTAAACCCTACAACTTTTGTTGGAAACACTTTTCTGTAAAACGTATATTTTCCGAGATATTTAGGGGTTTCCACACTTTTGGTAGACCCTGTATATATATATATACATACAGGGTGGGGCATTTATCTTGAGACAAGATAATATCTCGATTGGAGTCGATTATTTTGAAAAAAGTTTTAGACAAAAGTTGTAGGGCATTAAAGAGGCTATCGAAAAGTCCATATTACAACTTCCGGTCTAGACCGGAAGTGACGTTTTTTGATCAGAATTCGTTTTTTTAAATGGAAACACCCATTTTTTGCCGCGGATTTCGATTGGAAATTGAAAAAAAAATACTTTTTGTTCTTATTATTTTTTCGATTTAACCCATATTTTGGCCATAAAAAAAACAAAAAAACACAAAAATCTTGAGATAACGGAGTATCTTATTGGAATCCCTTTTTTAACTTTAAGGTTGAAAAACTGTACAACTATTAACTACTTTTAGCACTACCCAGGAATAACGACGTGGACGTAGTAGTTTTTTATCCCCTTTGGGGTGCTTGTTTTAGGTGAGTCCCCTTGCCTCTCACAATTTGGTATGATTGTCTTATCTGTTTGAAATTAATTTAATTTAATAAGTGCTCAAATTGGCGACCTTCGACTTCAATACACTTATTGATCCGAACTTCCATAGATCGTACACAACTGCGGAGTACATCAGGTGGTATTTTGGCACAAGCATTTCGGATTCGTTGCATCATATTTTCACGAGATGTTGGCACTTCT